GCAGGCAGAATTCCTTATAACTCAACATAAAAGAGATATTGAATTAATTCAAAACATTAGAGCATATTTAGGTGGAATAGGTAGTATTGACTATAAAAAGGAATATCTTATACAATTTAGGGTATTTTCTATCAAACAAATTACTGATATAGTTATTCCTTTTTTTGATAAATATCCTCTAATAACTCAGAAAAAAGCTGATTTTGAATTGTTTAAATCAGCAGTTAACCTTATGAATAGTAAAAGACATCTTACTGAAGAGGGTCTACTAGAAATTGTAAATATTATAGCTTCATTGAACAAAGGTTTACCTCAAACACTTAAAGAAGCATTTCCTGATTCTCTACCTGTAACTAGACCTTTAATTGAAGGTGAAAAACCCAAAATTTTAAATCCTTACTGATTAGCTGGATTTGTCAGTGGAGAAGGGTGTTTCTATATTAAGCAGCGTAAGTCTGTACACAACAAAAAAATTGTTGAGTTAATTTTTACTATAGGTCAACATTCAAAAGATAAAGCTTTAATACAAAGTTTTGTTTTTTACTTAGGGGTTGGAAGATTTTCATTATCTAAAAAAGTAGCTTACTATACTTGTTCAAAACTTTCAGATAATTTAAGTAAAATATTGCCTTTTTTCGATAAATATCCTATTCTAGGTATTAAATCTAACGATTTTAACGATTGAAAGAAAGCTTGTGAAATAGTAAAAGCTAAAGATCATCTAAAAGAGGAGGGATATAATCAAATAAAATTAATTAAAGAAGGTATGAACAAAGGAAGATTTACAAGATAATTTTATCTTCTGAGGGATAATCTTCGCAAAATATCAATGTTTATACAGATTATTTATTAGTTGTATTAATGTGAATGTTAAATATTCAGAGGATAAATTTGATAGTCGTGATTTTAGGAAATTTACATATATCTATAACTAATATAGGATTATATTTAATGATAGGAGTTTTCTTTAATCTAACTCTTAACTTTCTAAGTACAAATTATAATAGATTAGTTAGTAATAATTGATCAATAAGTCAAGAGAGCCTGTACGCTACTATACATGGAATAGTAATTAACCAAATAAATTCAAAGAACGGTCAAGCTTACTTCC